TAGTGATAAAAGTGCGAATGCACCAGATGAATGAGTTTGATCATCTTTTGTTTCGTTAACTTGTTCTACGAGATCTATACCGTGCATATTTGATGGAGATGTCTGAAGATGTCGAAATAATAATTCTGTAAAAAAGTTTTGTCCTTCATCACCGCCAAGAAACTCCTTAAGTGGTGTATACTCAATTATAAAATGTTTCAGTACGGCACAAACCACAGATCGTTGAAATAAATCTGATACTGAACGTAAATGCTGATTTGTTACAAGACCGTGTATAGCACGATAATGCTCTCGTGGTGTAAAATTCGTATAATCTAAGTCAAAAGCTGATTTGTTTTGATTTTCAGGATCATCACAAAATGAAATCAACTCTTCTATAGTAGGAAACAGTTCTATTGCTGTAAGACATACTCGCAAAGCGATGCCATGTATTTTATTAAACATCTTATATAGCAGATCAATAATAGGACACTCATATTTATGAAAAGTCGCAGTGGCTCGATCGCGACATTCCTCCGAGCAGAACATTACTGAACAACAGCTGTCACAAGGTATGAGCGTAAGATAGTTTTCTTGCTTGCAAGTGGCACAGCGTATATAACGCATTGGTGGCAACAGTGTAGAACAAAATGGTTCTTCAGTGGCTATAAGGTCACCAACGACTAGATCACGATTAGTATATAAGAAACGTCCTTCTTCATCAGTATGACGTAGTTCGAGACAATCTGCTATATTGGGTACTTGTGGATGTGGATCGAAAGGCATCTGAAAATCATAAGGTTGAATATCAGGCGGTTGCGTGGCTAATAGCTGTCTACAATCCTTTTCACGTTTATCCAATTTATGCATTAATCTGTCTGGATAATTAGCTTTACGTGCTAATTGAATATTGGTTAAGCACTCACGATAACGTTTCCATTCGAATAGCACTGCGGAACGATTGGCATAACCGATCGACAAGTTCTCTGAATCGGGTTCAGAAAAACATATACTCTTATTATATAATTCCAAGGCCTAAAATAAAAATAAAATTAGATTACAACTTGTTGCAACGCAGCAAAAAAAAGCCAGTACGTATTAAACGTAATAAAAAATACACATATATATTTCGTAAGCATATGTAATACCTGAAAATATCGTCTATTCTTAAGCGAAAATTGTTCATTCCCCAGCATCCGAAACTCTGAACTCTTTTTGTTGCATTTTTCCTCACGCAGTTTAGTATTCAAGAATATTTTTTCGATATATTTGAAGTCAATTAGGGCGTGTTCGACAAAGTTTACTTTAGAATAGTTCTCTTTTAGTTCATTAAATTTTCCGGATATAATATGAATTAATTTCCAATCACTTAATTTCTTTACCAAATCATCGCTTATATCATATACATCAATCAATTTTGGGCACTTGTTATTCATGGTGATGGCGGGCGGAGTATCTGGCAGTGTAGTCTCGTGTGTTGCTTTAGAAAACCTATTTTATCCAAATAAGTTTTATGTCTACTGGCGTCAAAATTTTTATTTTTTATTTTCTGTTGGAAGATGTTAAAGTTTTATTGCAATATTATTGGAAGACTGTTGCGGCTATTTTGCATTTTACACAGAATTTCAGCTGCTGTCACGTATTACTGCTGCCCGGCGACGAAGCCTTTGGTACCAACTAAAAATAACTTCACGAACTCAATTTCAATTTGCAAATATAAATTTCGCATAAATACGTTTATTTATGGAGTTCACTATAAATTTTTATATATTATTTATTAATATAATTTCAAAAAATTTTGTTAGCAAGATTCACATGCGTTAAAAAGGCAACATTGCTCTAAGTCTTTAGTGAAACGAGTGGAAATGAAATGTCAATTTGACATCGTGTACGAGGGAGGCAAATTAGTCCAATTCGTTTATCTAAACACAATATTATGTCATATTATATAGCGTTCTGAACACATTTTGTGTGTAATATTTATTATTATAATTAAAGGCTTATGAAACAAAAAAAACAACGTTAGTTATTAATTTTATTTTATTTTATTTTATATAGTTTTTATCTATATAAATAAAATTAAGGTTTTCATATTTACACTTTACACACTTCTATATTTTTTATTTTTTTATTTTTTTATTTTTATGATCGAATGCAAACAAATGTATAAATGTATTGAAATTTTGTATATGAAGTGATAAAGTGAGAGTATGTGCAAAAATCTTGCCAAAATCTAGACTGTTTAGACGAAGCTTTATTTGATTTTTTTCTTATAACATTTTCCCACTTCAGCAAAATCAATTTATATTATACAGGATTCCCCTTAAAGTTTTTTTTTGTAATTTTAGCTGTCAAAAATGTTCATTTTGCATTGACAGCAACAACAACTGACAGCTAAAATTACAAATAAAACTGTCGTGTGAATTCAATATTAACCAAATTAAGATTTAATTGTTTTTATTAGCAAAAGATGATTTAGGCTTGTGAAACGGTTTTTATGTACCATAAAAGTTTGGAGAAAGTTCTAGGAGAGCATTTATTTTTTTACTTTTCAATTGTCAGCAGATAATATTAAATTTTTATTAGTAGAAATTAAATAATTTAACATAGTAATAATTTTAGTTAATTTATTCCCTAACTAAGTTCGAAAGTATGAAAGCTCCTTGTTCAGTTAATCAACTTCATTAGCGACATAAATGAAATAAGCTGAATGAACTGCATTAAGGCCCATTTTTACAATGCATATTTAAGGTAAGTAACACTTAAGTGTTCGGTATAGTCCACTAAAAAGTCACTTAAAATGTATAGAAGTGTCAAATACTTCTTTGCGCATTATAAAATTGGCTCTAAATTTTAGAGAAAATCACTTGTAACAGCTAAATAAATTTTTTTTCTTTTTGTGTTTAAAGAAAGTAGTATGGAAGTAATAAATATTTTATATATATTTATTATAAGAATATTTTTTGCTAGTATCCTCAACAATTCTTCACTGTTTAAAGTAGTCGTTTTATATATTTAAATAAAAAGGATGTATCCCTTTTCTCGAAAGAAGTAACTCAAATTTTTTGGGCCACAAGAGACCAAATTCTTGAAAGCAATGAAGACCTATTGAAGTATACAATTTTATAAGAATATATTAATTTCGTCTAATGATTTTAGTTCAAACTAGAAAAGTTAGGGATTTAAACTTCAGTAAATATTTTAAAGTAATTTCAAAATAAGAATTACATTCTTACTTAAATTATTTGGAAGATAAACCGATGTAATATGAAAAGTGGATTTTTTTGCAAAATTCAAGAACATAAAAATTTCAGATCATTTAAGCAATACTTATCCAAGATATAAGAAGCCTATTTAAAAATAGTTTTTCAGGAAAGAAGTGTTTAACCTGTTAAAGGAGCAGAACCAAACAATTCTCTCTATGTAAGATGTTTAAAATCTATATTCTATTCTCTCTCTATTCTAAATAAAATTGTTGCTACACAAAAGATGGCTAATTATAGTATTTCATTTAGTAAGTCTAAAAGAATATAAAACGCCTACAGACTATTAAATGCTCTTTAAAGATGTTGTATATCTGGATTATAGGTGTTCTAAAAATATATTGCAAAGCCCCTCGCTATTAGGCTTCTTTCGAATACTTCTAAAATTCATTATTTTCAAATAAAATTATTTTACAACATTGTGATTTTGCAATTAACTGAATAGTTGAAAAATATATATCGAGGAAGGGTAGATTTTAGGTTTAATATACCCCTAAAATTGTTCGAATCTTTTTGTTGCACTCCTATTAGTAATATGGTAGAGTCGATCATTATAAGTTGAATATTAAATTCATGTAGATAGATATAAAATTAATATTCCTTACATGCCCGACCCGAAAAAATGCATTTATGAAAACCCAAGTTAAAGTTTTTGAAATCGTTAACATTTCTAGTGCTGAAGAACGACGAAGGTACAAATTTTTGATACTGAGCATTATTGGGATGAATATCAATTCATCAGCACAGTGTTATTTTCTGGAAATTGAAGAAGTGTTAAGCATAGGTACATATAACATTTAAAATCTGTTTCAAATAATAATATGAATATACTAAATAATAAATAATACAGACGATTGTCTAAAATATAAAAGTTTGAACTTATCGGCTGAAATATAATTTATTACCAAGTCATTTAAATTGTCAAATAACTTGGTAATCGACAACAGGTTCTAAACAATTTCTACGGAATATAGACATCAGTGGATCTTGCGGAAATCGGATCTTGCGGAAATAATTTCTTAAATTTAGGAAAAGTCTCCAAGAATTAGCTCATTATTTGGCAATTAGATTTAGATGTCCAATCTAAACCAATCTTATGGTTTAAGGCATGATAGTTGTTTTGTAAAACTAAAATTCAGAAAATAGAGTAATTAAAATTCATATAATACTGACCTTTATTCCAATGGTGGTACAATGGTGAAGTTATACGTCAGAGATATGAAATAATAATTAATGGTGAATATGGTCTATCAACTATACGGAAAGACAAATGAGATATTTGAGCATATCTCTTCAGGGTGTTAAGACCCCTAACAGCGAAAGCGAAATATCAAAAAATAGCCAAGATAGTGATTTTTTTAATTATATTGTTTATTAGATAATTAAAATACTTTACTAAATGGGTATAATACTTTATAAAAATTATGGAAAATGCTACTACTATATGGAATATAATAGTGCTGATATGATGTTAGGTTAGGGTTAAGTTCAGAAGGCGCGTGCTGACAGTTTTCAGCATTTGCTCGGAGGCATATATGGCCCATTGTGATCCCTCAAAAATTTTTGCCGGGAAACGAGTTGTTAAGCTTTTTTATCCTTGTTAAACCATTTGCTTTTCCAGATGAAGTTGAGATCCAATAAGTTTGCTTTCGTTATCTCTTCCAAGCCAGTGAAAAACGATCCCCAAGACATTGAAGTCATCTTGTCTGCAGTCCTGGACAGAGACACAGAAAGTGGTTGATAGATTCTACCTCCTCTTCATCTTGGCAATTCCTGCATAATCCGTTGATATAATGTGCAGCTTCGTTACACTTGTTAAAAAGATATGATAAAATGTAGAAATTACTGTATAGAATAAAAAAAAGATATTGTATTCAAGATAAAAATCAGTGAAGAATAGGATGAGTCAAAACCAGAGTAACAAAATATTTTAAAAAGAACTTCAAAAAATATGAAATCAATATACTTACGTAGACAGATCACGAAGTCATTCTTATTATCTGTCATATGAACACAGTTCATAAGAGATTTAGCTACACCCAATTGACTATAACTAACTTCAGATACATTCCTAACAGACTTAGTTTTAAAACAAACTAATGTTCAAAATTGTATCTGTTAATGTGAGAAAAAAAAATAAAGGCAAAAAAGAATAACATTTACTTATTAATAGTTATCTGTCGATATCTTGCATTCGCACATTTAGTTAGATATGCTGTCATAGTATAAAGTATCTTCGGTTTTAACAGCTTTTAAAGCTGTTTTGTCTGGGCTTTGTTTATTCATTTTGCAAATAACCTTCTAATGAAATACATTTCACATTTTTTTTAATAAAAAACCCAATTGTGATCATTTTTCAATTTAAATATACTAACATGACTAACATTACTAATATGGGCAAAAATATTAAGGCATTTATTTTTATTAATTGATTTCACTGTAAATGAACCGCAAATGTAAACTTACGGTGTTTACACTGCAAGTACAAGTGTTTATATATGTATTTAAAAAAGTATAAATTTTTATTTTTTTTTTAAATTTAGTTAATTTAATATACAGCACTAACGTTTAAATTCTTATGCAATTTCGAATTATAATAAACTTTTAAAATAAATAAATATATTCATAAAATGTACTTAAGGAATAGCATTATGAATTTTAAAGTTGGAAAGTGAAAATGTGTGTACTGCTTTGCGAGAGAGAGTTATCCTATCTGTAGCCCCATGTAGTCATGTATCCATGGAATTGCAATGCAGCAGGAGTTGGCATGAAATGAGGGAAACCCAGTGGCAGTGGCAGCATGTTGTGGTTGCAAATAAATCGGCTTAAATGTTGCAACCGTTAAACTTCTCCTTATTGCTGTCTAAAAATACTTTGGTATTTGCATAGGAAGGAGTAAACATATGAAAGATGTATGTAGCAACAATAGCCTTAATCCTCCAAAGGGTAAAAGATGCTGAACGTAAAATTGTACTTTATATGGATCTTCGTAATTTATGACTGTTTATTTTTAGTTGACATGAAAATTTAATTAACATTTTAATTTTGAATTTTTATAGTTTCCTTAAACTTTAGAAAACCGTAAGTTTTACGTCAGAGATGTGAAATAATAATTAAAAAGATATTACGTTACTCGTAAACATAACAGAATGCGATGTCTTCTTTATTTTTATAAATATATGAAAGAAAAATATTATATCGTAACTTTGAAATTCTTTATGTTGTCACTGGAGATCAGTGAATAAAATAGGGCTATTAATAAATTTAGCAATATATATTAGTTCCAGACATTATTCTATTTAAGAAAAACACAATGGGTATCTTCAGGACCTTACAGGATTTAATAAAACTAGCTTGAGTGTGTTGGTTTGCTTTCTTGACAATCTCAAGACACAAGTAGAAAGATGTTTAATTCTGCATTTCATAAAATCTGTTGGTATTATATCTTTTAAATCCATATTTGTAATTAAATAAACGGTCAACATATTTATTATTGACCCTACTTAGCTGTTTGCATTGCATTAATCTATTCCCATAGGCCTAAAGCTCTACAAACAATTTCTATTCTATATTTTAAAGTATTG